GAACAGGTGGACGAACAGCAAGACGTCAATTGCATAAGACTAATGTAAGCCGTTCGTTAATCAATATAAAATTATCTATAGCCAAGTACAAACGTTTTAAGAGAATTTCATCTCATCTTATATCATATCACTCAATATGAAGTTTTCGGCTTTTACAATTTGCATTGCAAATATCTATCTCAGCTTATAGAAAGACACGGGTAGCTTATATGGTATCTAAAATGTCAAGCTTTTGCAAAAGGGTGCTTAAATACATTTTCACAGTAAGTATCTCCCACTCTTGTTGAAAAGAGAACTCCTTCTTTTTACAGTTTAAACGTTCCTTAAGCTTAAGGTAAGCAATCCTTGACTGCGTAATGTTCGACCAATCGTCCGTCCGTTCATCTGCCCGTATGAACGCAAACTATTTCGGCGCTATGGAAGCTAGACACCTAAAAAGTCGGGCATATATATTCGCTTATAATTTCGTTTTCTAAAGTGTATAGATATTCCCGATTCGCTCGCTGGGGGCCGTGGCAAAGCTTTGCAATAACTCCACAACAGTAAAGTCAGTGAAGCCCGCCTCTAATGATTTACCTAATAAAATGCAGTTAGTTTGGACCCTTAACGAGTATTATGCAGTCACTAGCACCCGACAGCAAGTTTATTGCTTGTTAATGTTTCCTCTTAAATATTAATTTCAATAATACTTGGTCCAAAACCGAGCAACGGTTCGATAGGCACAGACCAATGATAATGAACTGCTTCGGTGCATAAATTAGGCTGGCCTCGCAGAGGGCGTGGCATGCCATGTGACTCAGCAAAATGCAAATTCCTTTCGCATACTTTAGCCAAGGGAAGCTGCTTCGTTGCAGCAGATTGCATAAATTTGCAAATCCAAACTTAAGGGCGTTCAAGCGCCTTCTGTTGGGGCGAGTGCCCGAAGCTAACCTCGCAGTCGCTCATTACACTCCGGCAGAGGGAATTACAACTTTAAGTTGGCGCCAATTTCGAATTTATTATTCATGTGTATCAACAGCCGCTTCATTAGAGACTCATCAGCAGATATACAGCTGCTATTAAATATTATGTTATTGTATAAAAAACTTTGCAATCTCTTGTTATTTATTTGGGAAACTTTGCATTTGCATGTGAATAGACGGATTATCGTATCATAAAAACAAAGTTTTGATGCCAACTTCCTCGAGATATCTTAACGGAACAGACGAATACAAAGCTAAACATATTAAACGGACTACAATTTATTATATGTTTATAAGTTTTCTAGTGAAACTGCTGCTGGCTGCAGCATAAATACTTTAGATATGAATAAACGGACTATTATATCATACAAACAAAGTTTTTTTGATGCAAACTTTCTTCAGACATCATGACTAAACAGCGAAATCAAAGCTAAACGGACTACAGGACATTATATATTAATGTGTGTTTATCGTTTCACTTAGTTGCTGAACTTTGGCACAGATTCGAAGCTTAAAGACTGCAGCTTAAGTCCAGATTATATCGGGACAAGCTATAGCATGGCACTTGGGGCCCGTTGGCAACATTGAATACGGGATGGCCATTATATGCTACCATAAAATGAGGTGCCGGCAGCCACGTGCTCACTAATGAATCTGCCAACAACAGCAGCAACAGCAACAACAACAACAACAACAACAATCGAATAGCAAACATTAAAGTGTCAGAAACTCACCGAAAAGCGCCCCCAGGAAAACGCGTTTCTATTTACAGCCGTGCGGCTAATTTCCACAGCAGCAACAACAACAATAACAATGCAAAGAAAAGAAAAACGTAATGGAGCAAAATTTTCAACTTGGAGCTTGCGTCAAAATACCTGAAAGCTAAGAATGAACATAGGGAAATTCATTTAATGGCTAGCTGCACTGCTGAATACCCTGCTAATCAAGTGTTTTATGAACAACAGCAGCTGTAAAATAAAAATAAATTATAAAAAAAAAATATTCTTCACAGATTTTTATTTTTAAAAGATTTGCAGTAAGTAGGCTGAATAGAAAGAAATAGCTAAGCAAATAACACATGGAAGAAGAATTGCATTATCCACTTTTGCCTTGTCTGAAAGATATTTAACACTCAATTATAAATAAAATATGTTGAGCTTAAAATCAATTCAAAGATTATTAAGAAAATTTATGTTAACTTTGAAGTTGTTTTCGAGTTTGCACAATTTGTCGGGCAACCTGCTACTATATACTTATAGTTTGGTCAATTTGGAATACTCTCAGAGCTGTCAATGCGGTCTTTAAATTATAATTAATAAGGAATAAGCAAGAGCTAGGAAGGACAGCTAAATATGATCAAGGCAATGTACTGAGAGCGGAAGAAAATTGTGAGGAATAGCGAGAAACCGGAGCGAATCTCTTTGCAAATCTAAGTCTATTGACCCAAAGGTCTGTTGCCTATCAGACAATTTACTCACTTTATCGGTGTTTATATCTTGTTCATTAATTAACAAATTCATTACCTCGAGCTAGAAGTTTAAACAGAGCTTGAGGTCGGATGCTGGTCGAAATATTCTGTGTCTAAAGATAACTTCGAACTTAGTTTTGAGAACACTTTTCTCATTTGAATAGAACTTCAGCTTATGCTAAGTAGAAGGCGATTCTCATTCCAACTAACTTTCGAACTCTAATTGCATAACCCACTATCCCCACAAATAAAGGCATCCTGTTCTTATTTGTGCTAGTTTTTACTGTATTTGTTACAAATATAATTCAATTTGGAATAAGCTCGCTGTGTGAAGAGTAATATTATTTGGAAATGCTGACGTCCTACTTTGCTGTGCAGTGGAATGAGCTCCTTCATCCTGACTTTCATCCGTCGGAACTCAGTGCGACGTTGGCTTTTTTGTTCCGCTGTCTGAAAATGCGACTTCCCTGCAGCAGATTTCAATTATGCAAAGAGATTTGCAGACTGGTTTTCTGGACGTTCTTCAGAAATATTTTGCAGGCGAGGGAGTTGGGATAATCAGGCTAGCATATTTACTTTTAATTTCCGCCATTAATTATGCAATTCTTTGGCGGAAGCCTGCGAAAATGTTGACACCACAGACAAATTATGTTTGGCCATTATGGAGTACATAAATCAAGCGACGGCTGCCAAGGATTAGCTCCTGATAGTGTATACTAAAAACTCGGCGGGCGTAATTATGTCAATAAGCCAAATTGTTTATGGCCCACAGCCGACGCCAGGCCATACCAAAAAGACGAACGAAATGTTGGGATCGTTAATCATTTGCATGTTTCTTGACCGGACCAGCAAACGAGTCGTTCCGAATTCGGGTGCAGTCAAGCTTGTCCAAAGCCAGCCCAAACAATGGTCCGAGGCTAAACAATGAAGAGATTGGCCAGCAACACACGACGACTTGTTAAGAGTTGTGAAAGGCCAATTTATTTCTGGTTCAACGATATCACCACAATTAATAATCTATCCAGGCCCATTGCCCAGCCATATTGATAGTCAGCCAGGAATCAGCTGAATGCGAGCTCTGTTACACATACAAAGAACTTCTGCTGTGATAGCAGTCAGAAGAACAACAACAATTTGTGAATTTAATACGCAGACGCCTGCTAAAGTAGCTGCCGGCTAGCAAAGAGCCAAACAAGCCACGAATGGAGAACAATGGGCAGAACTGTCCGGACTTTTGGCTTATCGCTGATAGCAAATCAGCCAGTTGCAGTGGAGCGAAAGGCAAAAAAGGAAAAGAAAAACAAGCCGCAAAACGAAAGTCAACCTTGTCAGAGCAGCAGATACTCTGTATTCAACTAAGAGCTGTGAAATGTCCTCAGACTTCTGACCCAATTTATCTGCATAAAGCAAAGCTCTGTTCTTGAATAACTTAGCTGCTTATGGAACCATACATATATATACCTTTTCATCGCCATTTTCTACAGATACAGGGTATTAGGGGCACGCAAGAAAAAGGGCTGCGAAATGTGCAAGAAAAGTAGAAATAGGAACATATATGTGATATCGTCGCAGGACAGCCCCCAATATGATAAATAACAGATGAGCAATTTGTGTCAGCATTGTACCGCCAGGGGAAGGGAATTGGGTTCATTTCTTATTGAACATGTCGAATGCCAGGCGACGAAATAGTCAAAACAGAAATAAGAATCCACTAGCAAGTGAGCAACTGGATTAGCCTGTCTCGTCTCGTCGCGTCTGGCTTAACTAATTGTTTATAATCATGTGCTTTAGAGCTTTACGCTTATCTCTCTTTATATATCAAGCCAATCATTTATTTAATTTTGAATAGCACTGGGTATTAACTGTATGCTAGGTCTATGTGATGCTCGCCCTGTTTCTAGTGCAATAAAAAACTCATCAATCACTTGGTGCTCCAAATGCTTGTCGCCTGCACAGGACTCATTCCTTAGCAGGTCCCCAGTTGCAGCTCCTGGCAACACTTTGAAAATACATTGACTATGAGAATGTCATGAATATTAAATTGCGATGATTGCCTTTGGCAATGTATCCTGCTTCTCCTGCTCGTTGTCGTTGTCGTTGTCACCCTTATTGACCACGTACTCGTTGCTTCTGGTTCTGCCTTTCTATGCTATGCGTTTGCAGAGCTAGTTTATCACAGCTTGATCCTAATAAAATGCACTTTAATTAAGTTAAAAATACAAAAATGTGTAAGCGCATTTTTGGACAGTGAAAGCCTTTACATACATTTTGATAAATGACCCAAGCTGCAGGAAATCAAGAAAAAATTAAAAACAGAAAACACTTTTCATAATTGCTAAAAATAACGAGTATATATATCGGCCATATATATATATATATATAGTTCAAGTACTGTGAAAAATTACTTTCCCATTTAATCATGTATATTTCAAAATTATGGTATATATTATATATTATATTATATTAAATATATTTTATATTTATATATAATTTTTATAAATTTAATTAATCTGTTTTTCTAAATAAGCTCAGAGAATCAATACCTCCTGTCAATGTGACCTGACATTGAATTTGCTGTCAGCGAGGCTCAGTTCCAAATATAGTTCGTCAAGGGAAAGAACGAGAGAAGTAGAATAGAAAAATATTTATTTATAAATTCTAAATTACAAGTGATGATTCGCATTTCCAACTGCTTGCCCATCATATTGAAAATGATGTACAATACGAAACTGCGCGAGAAGCGTTCAAAATTTCATCAGCCAAACTCAGTTGCATTTTTCCGCGAGTTTTTTAAATTTATCAAGAATAATGAGAAAAGCTATAGATGTCCGGTAAGCTTCTGCAACACAATATTAATGTGATTAAATCATTTTTCCATCTTTCTCTTTCGTAAGAGAGCGTTGTAAATTTCAAGTCCACTTGCAAAATTGAAGCTGGTAAGAATTTCAATTTTTATTTTGCCAATATAGATTAATTATATCGGATCTCTCCAACAGAAACCCGTTTTGCAAGAGGCTTAAATTTTTAATTGCTTTCGACGCTCATCGACTTCTAGCGGTTTATTTTTGGATTTTTGATTACTTTTACATATATATCTAGTATTTGCTTAGGTTGTGAGTGTAGGAATGGAAAAAGGTTAAATATAGTGAAAAGATCCTGTTAATGTAAAAACGAAGTTTCATTCATAATTTACCGAGCAACTACTGGGCTTTGGCACCACAAGCACAGAATCCACACAAAGTGTAATACCTGATAACGGGTCTACGTATCTAGATGGTTGCTCAAACAAGGCGATACTATTAAAGCATACGATATAACATTGTCAATACCCAACAGCCCTCGACAATCACGACAGCAAAACAAAGCACAAGTCAATGGCTGCTTTGTGGCTAAGGGCACGTCCTTTATACAGTTCTAGGCAAAGGCCTAGTCAGCTGCAGGATGAGCTTTGCATACAAAGCACACATACATACACATACACACACATACACATACATAAACATTCTCAAAACAAACTTTTCTTGTGGCTTGTTGGCTCATAAGCTTTTGAAAGGCCGCCTGAAAGGCAACTGTAATTGAATTTTTCATTGTTTACAAACAAATTATTGTTGGCTGACAAAGCAGCTGCGCTAACAATATGTTGATCCCATGGCCTATTCTATTCGCACATAAATTGCTGCTCTACATCTTAGCACAAAGAAACGAGAATTAAATGTTTTTACTCCTTCATCAATGTTCTCTCAACTTGAACACTTGCATAATTAATTGAATAATTGAATTGAAGTTGCGTTCAGCTCTGTGTGAGTCTTTTGGGCAATGGGAAAGAGTTTAATATACTTAGGCTTACAGCATTAAAAGTTCGTAAATGGATTTTTAAAGCACTTTGAATTTACAGCCTGGGCAGGCTGTAAAAATTTAAAATTAAATTGCGGCCAACGGCAACCCAGCCCGACCGAAGGCAGATCGAGCTGAATTTTTCATAAATGTCACGGCAGATGTAATGTAGCCTGAAGTAGGCTCCGAAGCAGCTGCCAGTTCAAAAGCAATTTAAATACCAGGCGGGGCATGCTTATATGGTCGACAGCTCGACATTTTCGTTAGCCGAGTCTCAGCAAAAAATGGAATTTAAGTCCATTCCAATCGCTGTGTAAACGTAAATATTCTGTACATGCTTTAAAGGACGTCTTATTGTATTTATAGCTTGCGATCAAAACATTTCAAGTCCTTTCATCTGCCATACATAAAGCATTCATGAATGTTCGAAAATCGCTTTAGCTTGAATGCCATAGAAACAATTCGGTAAGTCGTGCAGTTGAGCTCATTGTGGCTAATTTATGTATACTGACTGAACTAAATTCGGTCACCATTTCATCTTCAACTGCTCTCTCACCAGGCAGAGAAACACATTCACACAGCATCAATGGATTCTCCACACACAAGCCATATACAGACGCTCGTGCACACATTCAGATGAACAAGTGGAAACATCATAACCGGGGTAAAGCCTAATACAACCCCAAATGAAGCCCGAAAAGCGGACGCACACCTGATCCCTGTTGCCTTCGCATATACCTACACACGCACACTCCCCCACACACACATGGTTACATAAGTGTCATTGCTGTTGCCGTGCGCTGTTATTTATGATAATTCAAAGTAATATCCTGCAGCAATTTCATCAACAAAAGCTAAGAGGCCAAAGCCGACTGCAAGTAGGTGTGTAAAAGCAAATATCCTTTTTGGGTAACAAGCTCATGGCTTGGGGGCGCTCTGGAAAATGGCCTAAACGTGTCGAACGTGCAACGACCTGCGTGAAGATTGCAAATTTGTTTCAATAATTGGTTGTGACAGGCACACAAGTTGAACTCTAGTTCCTAGTAGGCCATTTGGCCAAGTACACGGTCTTTTAGTGATTGAATTTCTTAAAATTGCATTGCCTGTTCATCAACTCAATGCTAAATTAGCTCAAAGTTAAATTCAATAAGCGACTTCAGTCTTTAATGAAATGCTTTTCTGTTACAAAGTCCACCAAGTCGAGCTTAGGTAGCCACAACCGCATTTGTTTACGTCAATCGCGTGATTTTCTTTACGACCTGTCCAGTACATGTTGCGTTTGATATTGTTCAACTGTACATGTTTGATGTAGCACAATCTTATTGTCAGTACAAAGATATAAGAGTTGAATTCAGCGGATTCTCGAAATTTCCCGTTGGGGCATTAAAACAATAACGACACATTTAGATTTTGCTCAACAATTAGCCACAGACACAACATCAACAAAATTACTTGTTCTCTGGACAGGCTAGTTGGTATAGGAACTGCACCAGCGTCCTAGTTGGTCGCCCGGTCATTTTCTTTCTAGCCAGATATGGAACGATGCCATATTTGGAAATCATGCCAGAGCCACGAGTATCTATATGTGCCCAGTCAGCGCAAGGTACCATTTCATGGAGAATAGCTGCTGCCAAGCAACAGGTTGAATTGCCGCGTCCATCATTACTCAGATCATAACCAAGCTCATCAGTGACCTGCTTTTTGTAATACTCCCACAATGGCAAGCGCCACATGCGATCACCGGTTAGGGAACCAGCTCTTTGGAACTGCTTCCAGATATAATGTGAATTGGAGAAGATAGCGCTAGCACCGCCCCCAAGTGTTTGCTGAGAACCCAAGGAAATTGATCCGACGTCGATTACCAGACGCGGCTTATAGTTCGTTTGGCCGTATATCAGTGGGTCGGCCAATACGACGACGGCAGCCTTGTCTAGATCACGTATGGCCATTGCCTTTGCGTTGAGCAGGGTGCAGACATCACCTGGCTTCGCAGACATGCCGGAGGGCATATTCTCACACAACGGTATAACGAGCACCACATTAATGGGCAGAGATAGTGCGGCAATACCGCGCATCATACCCACACAGGCTGCAGCACCGGACATTTCGCCCCGAGACTCGTCCATGTTTTTCCCTGAACGCAAATTGAGTCCACCCGAGTTGAATGTGATGCCATTGGCGACAAAGAGTACGGGATGGTCGTCCGGTGAAGTGCCACAGTAGCTAATCTCCATCAGGACCGGGGGCTCGCAGGAACCCTTTGCGATCATTAAGAGGGAATGCATGCGCTGTTGCTCAATCCAGTCCATGGTGCGTATCTCTACAGTGATTCCGCATGGGCACAGGGCATCCACTGTGGCTTGAGCGAATGCCGTCGGCGTCATGCAGTTGGCAGCCGTATCGCTTAAGCGACGCGCCAGATTCTGCGATTCCCCTTTAAAAACTCCACGAGTCCAACCGTCAGTATCGTTTGAGTCAAACAATGATATGTTTGGTTTAACCAGTCGATTCTCCTTACTCAGCATATCAGAGTACTGATAGAACGCAAGGGTGGCACCCTCGGCTGCTTGCTCCGCATAGTCCATGCCATCGATCGAAACTTCGACCAGTTTTTGACCTTGCAGTGACTTAGCACCAATGCCAGCAGCCACGCGTACATTTTCCATGCCCTCGTCAAGCATTTCAAGCTCGTTAAAGCCGATACCATTTAGGCCCAATCCAACGACTGCAATACTAGTAAAGTCGGGATCAATGTTGTTGAACACTTTTCCGCGGCCCAACTGTCCCGTAATCTTAGTTTCACATACTGCCTGCGAAAGCTTGCCACCCGTGCGATCGTTAGCAACCTCACCACTTGGCGTTAACTTCGCCTCGGTGTTCCCCTCTTCTTGGTAAATGCCAACAACTAGGCCTTTTCCTCGCGTCTCCTTGGTGCAGGAGAAGCGAACGTTGTCTACTTTCGTGAAGCTACTCATAGAACTGTATTTAACAATAACTCGACGCACACACTGCATATTGAAAATTTAAATGCACAAAAATTTTCACTCTAAAATCGTTGAAAAATGATACGGAATTAACACCTAAAATTTTGACGAAATATTTTTTTTTTTCAAAATGCCACTGAACAAAACATAAAGAAGCGAGCACTGTTAAGTTTAGAATAAAACAGCTCAACCAGGAATCGGGGTGTGACAGGTTACTGATTTGACAACTAAGGAAATGTTTGCTTGGGTTGACAATTGGAAGAGGTAAGTGTGTTTACTTTGGGGTGCCCGATTAGCACATACTCTGCAAATGAAAGCAACTATATTGGATGTACAGAACCATTTTAGCAAATAGCCAACAAATCAACCACCTTTCAGGCAGTATTCATTGATTAGCTTTACCATACAGCCCACAAGTCCTGTAGTGCTTAGATCTAATGGAGCTGTCAACATTTTTAGTTGTCTGTCGAATCAATTTCTATTTTTATGCGCTAAGCCCATTGAAAATGGGAAATCAGAGATTGGTTTTGTGAAAATGTATGTAAAAGGTAGAAGAAGGCGTGGCAGATCCCATCAAGTATATATTGTGTTGGGCAGAACGAAGAGTTGAGTCAATTGCCCGCATTGTGCGTCTGTCCGTCAGTCCAGAATCTATAAGAACTAGAGACTTGCACGCGCATAGTTTGTTTCAAATAATCGATAACTATTTCAGTATAAATGTTATCGATTACGTTTTCATATTATCGATCTATTTGTAAGGCTTATTTACAACCTACAATTACAATTCATAGGCGAATCCTTATCGTGCCAATGAACATTTTTGTGTCCCAGCTTATGTAATCTATTCACCATTAAATATTGTTAGCAATAGATCGCGGATTTGTTATCTGGAGATTTAATGATGACTGTCCAAGCTAGTCGTAAAGGGTTTCAATCGAATTCTGTCAACAAGGATGAATGTTTAATTTTAAATATATTCTATAATATATTTTATAAATATTTACACTGTTAAGGGCTAACTTTACTGAACGCTAATTAAACGCAATTCGGTAATTTAATTACTGCAAGTGCGTCAGTAAATAACATTGCAATCAAGTGGACCACATAGAAGCTGATGTTAATTGGGACTATCACATGCTGTCCTCGTATGAGAAAACAAACAAGCAATTAAGTGATGAAGTTTTATGACAATTTAACAACTTCTTTTAGATTATATTGAATTTATAGTTAATGCTGCATTAATTAAGCTGTGGAAACAAGAAACAGAGTTCTAGTGAAGGAAGGCCAATTTGAATGAAGCCTGTTCTCTGCTGAGAGCTTTCAAATACAGAAACGAATCTAAGTATTGTATATATTTAAGTATGTATATTATAGTTGTGGCTAAAT